GAGGCACGTCCCCTGCTAAGGGTGCCCTGGCAGCCGCCAAACCAAAGCCAGCCCACCAGCCACGTATCGGAAGAAATAACTTACCGCCTCCCTCTAGCGCCTGCATTTGGACTGCACTCAGTGCTGCAGAGTCCAATCAAGGGAAGAGCAAATAAAAGCTACATGGAACGTTCAGATGCTGCCATTCAAAGGCCATCTGCAAGCCCCTAACAGCAAATTCCTTTGAAGCCACACAGGTAGGCACAGTCCCCTGCCTCGCTCTCTTAGCAAGGGCTCAGGCTCAGCCCTGGGGTAAGGCTGTGTGGGACGAGCAGGAAGGCTCACGGAAGGGAGGAAAAACCCAATGAGCTGCCTGCTGCCACAGCTCAGCCCTCCATCCCCCTGCCTGCGCTAACACCCAGCAAAGCAGGCAGCAGGCACACCAGCTGTGGCAGGGCACATCATGCTGCTCCCCTCCAGCAGCTCCCCCCAGCCCTCTCCTGGCTTCAGTTAGGGCAGGGAAAGGGCTGCGAGTGATGACCCGGCAGGGGGGGGCAGTAGCTGACGAGCAGCCCTGCCTGCCAGGGCCACGGCATGGTGCTGCCACCCATCTGCCCTAAAGGAAGGTCTCACCTGCTGCCTCTCAATCACCCAGATGGTTTCTCTCCATTTCTGCACAGTTTGGCTCTGCTAGGGAGATGCTCAGGGACAAGGAGGGAATAGCAAGTGGGAAGTCCTCGTGGGAAAGACTAAGATTCACAATAGCACAGACAGATGCTGTGCTGCTCATGAAGACGGGAGTCCTGTGTCTGCACGCGGCCATGTGCACCAGCCCCTGAAGAACCCCCTGAAGCCACCAGGAAAGAGCTGCTCCACCAGCCATGCAAGCACTGGGGTCCAGGGGTACTTCTGTCCATCCCCGATTGCTTTTGCCCAAGCAATCACCTCAGGAGGTAACCCACCATTTCACTGACTTCACGGATTGTCCAGGCCCCAGCCTCCCAGTCAAGGGATTCTGACTCACCTGAGGCCTTCAGGCAACTGCTGTCAGAGCTGCCATTGCCTCCCACTGCATCGCTCCTCAGCAGAGCTGAGTGCTCCTTCCTCTGGAGTAGACCATGCCAGTGCCCCTGGCACCAGAGCTGCAGCAAACTCCCTATTAAGAACTGCAGCCTGGAGGGAGGTTCAGAGGCTCCTGAAAGGCCATTTTTAGACTCTGTATCTTTTTTGCTCATCCACAGACACATGTAAGAAAATGCAGTCCCCAGAGAGATCATGTTCCTAGAAACCTCCCTACAGCTGTACTGCCGTGAGAAGCCAGCCTCCGGAGCTAGGGAGGAGCTGCACTTGGGAAACGTTTGGTGTTTGAGCAGCCTGGGTCACCCAGAGAGCACAGCAACTCCGGGGCACCTGCAGCCATTTGGGGCCCCTCCACTAGCAGTTCCAGAGAAGATTTCAGTTTCCTTAGCCCACCAAGAAGCTGCACGGCCTTACAGCTGCACTACCTTGGCCCAGAGCAGCAAAATCCTCAAGACGGCTGTAGGAGAGAGGGATGGACGGGAACAGGAGACTCCCCACTGTTCCTCCCCTTTTGCAAGCACACAGGGATATGCTACAGCACCTGTTCCACATAGCAGCAGCTCACTGCCTTCCTTTGGAGACACTCCTTTGCCCTCCAGGGATCCATCCTCTCCCCAACCCATGACAAAACCCACTGAGCCCTCCTCTAGTGCTTGCAATGGCAAAGGGGGGAATGAGGGAACAGCCTCACTATCTCTCCTGCCTCTGCCCCATTTCCTTACAAATGTCTTGCATCAGGAAAGTCTGTCTAAACCATCGGAACCACTGACCCTTGCTGATGTGAGACAGCCTCACCCAACCCCCACAACTCCTCCAAGGCTGGGACCATCTCCCACCAGGTCACACCAGCCGTCTGTTTTCAGCTGTGTTTTGAAACAGCTGAAATAAGATGCTGGAGGCCCCCAGATATTCCAGCCCACATTTAAAAAGCAGGAGTTCCGAGAACTTGAAACCCTACATTGCTGCTTGAAGTGTGGATAGGCAAGCAGAGAAGAGAGAAAAACTAAAAGGTTCTGCCAACAGAAACGGCAGGCATGGACTCTGCAAACACAGAGAAAGCTTCCCAAAATAAGCGACCATCCTGGCAGGACAGCAGAAGAGAACAGTCCCCATATGCTGCTTTCTGTCTTTCCTTATGGAAATCATGCCTGGTTACAACCCCCTGCAGCCTGAGGGACTGGTTCCAAGAATACAGGAAGAAATCAAAGGAAAGTACCGAGCTTGCTGTGGAGAGCCCAGGCCAAAAATTAAAATGTAGTAAGAGACAGACGCAATGTGGAATATTTCTGTTACAAAAGTGTTTTCTGATACACTCTTGAAAAGACAAAACCGATCACTGGATTCAGCTGGTAAGTAAGTTATATTCCTTCAACTACCAGTCTAGTAGGTACATTCAGGGATAACCAACCTCTTTGATCTCTTAGTGACTTCTTTCTGCCAGATGCTATAACCAACCCAGTTCCACATCCCTCAGGAGAACAGAAGCCGATTTAAACTTTGATAAACCAAGGCAGCCAATTCCTAAATTCACTTGAATACATCCATGGTTTATTTGCTTAAATAAAGGTAGACTCTTCGTTTTACAATTCCAGTTCTGTAGCAATAGCAACAACACAGCAGCATGAGTGGACACGGGGAGGGGATGGCAGTTGGCACTGAACTTTGCAACAAAGAATTCAAAATCCTGGCTCCTTTGGAAATTGTGCACATAATTAAAAATAAATTAAATATATTATACTATACTTTTAAAAATGGATTTTGAAAACACATAAGCCTAATAAAATAGGGGTTTTTTTAAAAGTCAATGATCCGATGTCTGTTAGGAATAGAAGATGCTGTGTAACACCCTCCAGCAATACATACCGTCTACACACGTACAATGAGGCTCTTGAGCTTCAGCTGTCAGTGTCAATATGCACCCAGGGTACGGCAAACAGCATGCTGCACCCGTGCTTCCTACACTTGTTCAGTGTAGTGCTTGTTTGGTCTTTGCCCTCTCCCACAGGAGGTGCCAGTCCTCACACAGATCCCATGAGATCCGTGCTGGGGAAGCAGCAGCTTCACTTGCAGGGAGCTCCCTCAGCAGCACCTCTGGCAGTGCATACGAGCCTGTTCTGATCCCGGGGTCCTGTGCTGACCAGCTCTGGGGGAACCTGTCTGTTCAGAGATGTAAATCAGAACCACAGGTCACAGAGACTGGGATCATGAAGGAAATATCAAGCAGTATTAAACTGAAGAAAAATCTAGAGGCCTGGGGAGATCAGACATTGGTAAATAAACAGTAACAATAACTTTTAATATCCTGTAAAATCTGTTGCAGCTACGGAGGCAGAGCCTTCTCTTATACTTCAAGTGACCTGGTTTTCCAGAGACTGCAAGCACTCCCTACCTATTCCCGTGAATATGAGTGTTGAGCCCTGTTCAGAAATCAGATCCCTCTAAAGCACTTTGCATTAAAGCTTCAGTCCCTTCCACATGTCACTGCCCTGCGGAGAAGGGCAGGATCACCCTGAGTTCCCCCAGAGGAGACTCCCTGCATGCTCACAGATGGCTCGGCAATGGGGATTAGCTGTCACCAGCCAGCATAAGGGCAGAGATTGCTCTGCTCTGAAGTACAGCATAAGTGAGGCTGCTCTATTTGAGCTATAAAATTTACCATCCCGTAGCTCATCACAGTGCAAACCGCATTCAGCAGCTAGCAGAAACATACTCAGGGAAGCTCTCCTTGTGGCAGGCTCCTGTGTGCTTATAGGCCAAGTCACAGTTTTGGACAAACACTTGCATGGGAAGTTGCAGGACATGAGGTTACAATGGTCAAGACAGCAGTCAGTAAGCACTCTTCTCTCTGCTACGCAAATAGCTTGGGACTAAAACCTAGTAGGGGGCAGGAGCTGGGATCAGCAAAGCCTGGCATCCTTTTCTAGAAGGTTCCCTGCTCCCCCCCACCATTTTTCAGCCACCTTGAACGGACATGGAACCAGTGCAGCTCTCCCCAGCGGACTGAATGCAGCAGCCATTAACAAAGGGCAGTTAACTGACTGGACATCCTCTACCAGTAAAGTCTGTCAGATGAGTTACAGATAAAACATACTGGATTCCCCGTTAGGGAGTAAGTCAGCACTGCACCTGACGTAACAGGTAATGAAGTGAACAGTTCTTTGTTACAGCATCCAGATGGGAACATCTGTGCTAAAGTAACTGAAGACACTGATCTGCCAGCTAATGAAGCAAGTGGTCACCAGCCCCGCACATCAAGCAAATGGACTTAACAGCTGACCACGCGTGACACTGCCAGGCACCCGCACACCTAGGAGACATCCCACCCACCTACCATCTGGTCTGCTAGAGCGTATCATCTGGATATGGCGAGTACTTGTGACAAAACCAGCTGAAGTTTCATGCTCCAGATCTCCTGAACTCCTGAGTAACTCTAAACCCTTTGACATGACCCGGCAAGTGTCCATATCAGTATTTTTCATCCAGGCCTTCAAGAAGATCTCTCTCCCTTCAATGAGAAGGGAGATCCGGTGTTAAGCCTCCAGAAGAGACAAGGAAACATATATTAAACAAGAAGCAGCCAGCCTCTCCACAAAATAACACTCACACAAGACAAAGTTAGAGGTGAGGAAAAACAGACCAGAAATAGGCAGCTACAAAGAAGTGATGCTGCCACATTCAAACACAGGTCCATCTCTCCTTCGTACGTTGCTTCAAATCAGAGCTCTAACAATTCTCAGCATAATTCAGTCTCAGACACAATGCACTTATTCCAAACAACAGATACACACATCCCAGCCACTCTACTATTTGGCATTCTCACAGTCGCATAGGCTAGAGTCTCTACAACAGGTTTTGTTCACTATGCTGAGCAGACTTTCCTTTGGCAGTAAGGTCATGAGTTTAGAGGGTCTAGTATTTTTTTTTTAGTTCAGGACTAAAAGACTTCAATGAGTGTCTAGAGCACTCTCAGTTTTTGTTCCACAGACAGTTCTTGGTACAGATCAGAATTCACTGTCCTTAGTGAATTTAAAGGACTTTAACCCAGTCCTTTAAACCTGCTAAAACAGGTAGAGGTGGAAGCAGGACTACATTCACATGCTCTTTTGACAGCTCCCTCCTGCAGATACATCCTTTGTGCTTGAAAACTCCAGCCAGATGGTGAGGCTGCAACTCCCCAGCAAGCAAACTACCTATTGTCCTCACAGCCACTCTCCTCAGAGTGGCCCAGAGCTGTCTGCACTTATTCTGATCCAGCCACTGGCTCAAGAGATGTTCCCAAAGCAGCAGCCACTCTTAACAACAGGAAGACCCTGATTTGGAGCTGGAGTGCAGGTCAATGGTGTGGCCCAGCATGCAGTGCTCTAGCTGCTCCTCTACCGCCAGCACCTGTCGCACAGCCTCCTCAAATGCCACTGCCACATTGGTGTCATCCTTGGCACTAGTCTCCAGGTACGGATAGTTACCATTTTCCATGCACCAAGCCTGGGCCTCCTCTGTGCTCACTTGTCTCTCAAGTTTGTCTATCTTGTTGCCCAGGACTACAAATGGGAAGTGTTCAGGGTCCTTCACGTCAGCATAATAGATAAACTCCTTCTGCCAGTTACTGAGGTTCTCAAAGCTCTGCCGGTCGTCCACGCTGAAGGTCAGCAGGCAGCAGTCTGCTCCCCTGTAAAAGGGAGTTCGCAGGCTCTTGAATCTCTCCTGTCCCGCAGTGTCCCAAATCTGGAGGGTCACAAAACGTCCATCCACCTCCAGGTCCCGGTTTAAGAACTCCACACCAATTGTGTGGAAAGCCTGTGAGTCAAACTTGTTGGTGACATACCGGTTCATGAGGGAACTTTTCCCAACTCCACCATCCCCAAGGAGAATGACCTTTAAGAGCAAGGACTTCCCACTCATTGCAGCAGGGCGGAGGAGACAGTACAAAGGCAATCTGCAGGGTTCAGAAATAGTACAAAATAACTATCTGACTCATGGATTCTGCAGAAATTCACACATAGAACAGAATATAGTATTTCCATCCCCGTTTATGAACAAGTTCTGTATATAGGAGGTAATCTCTCCTGTTAGAGAAATTAGAGCTGGGAATCTGACAAGCTTTCAGGCACACAAGTCCTCCATCAGTTTCAAAATGGAAGCAGCAGGTCACCACTGTAAGTGCAAGGTGAGAACAACTGTTGAGAGTTTAGTATCAATTATACCACTTTTAGTGAAAACTCTGCATCTGAAAGCTTGTCTAGTTCTTCCAAACATACCATCAACAGTTAAGCATCTCTTCTTGCCTGGGTCCTCAGGCTACCAGAGGAACAACAAAATCACCAGGGATCACCATCACTCCTTTCCACTGTACCATCACTAGCTGAATAATTTCACCTATCTGACTTGCTCTACTGGAAGGATGTAAAAGATGTACAGGCCTAACAATACAAGTCATCTGGCAAACCAGTTCTTAATTGCCCCAAGACCGCTGACTCACCTTACAAGTGGAACTGCACTTGTTTTCTGCATGTGATCTCTACAGCTCAGAAGGAGTTTCCCAGGCACAGAGACCCAACTTCTCTGCTGCTCTATTTTGGCAATGCTTTTTGCAGGCCAGTTTGCTAGGGCAGAGGTGCAAGTTCACACTGCAACAACCCCAACACCACAGGTTCCTTAGACAGCAGTCGCAAGAGAAAGGCCAAGTGCCAACTAGTCCTCCCCCTCCTGGGGACATTCTGCAAGCGAAGGTAAAGGCCTGCCACGGAATAAGAGGTTTGTTTGGCTGCTGTCTGTACTGTACCTGCTCTAGAAATACAGTGCTTCTGTCTCCAGGACTGTCCAGGGAACACCTTCCTCCAGCATAACAGTCACTAAAAAACAAACATCAGTCAGTGAGGTTGCCAGAGCACTGCCTTTCAATTTGTAATATTGACCCAGGCTCAAAGAACAACATCAGAGCTCTAGGAAGCTGAAAGTGCAGTACTGATGGCTGGAGTAAAACAGGCAAGGATAAGGTGCTGAGGACAGAGTTTCCCTTGCCCTAAGTAAAATGGAGCCCAGCCCATTTCTGACCAGGGCAGAGCCAGTACATTATGGATGCTAAACCCAAAACAAGAAAAGAATAAATTGAAGGAGCTCTGGCATGAGTGCACAGGCTGTGTAACCCGTGTCTCCCCTCAATCCAGGGGACATCGATAGCTTTGATCTGCTCAGCCTGCCTACACACACACTCTGGAATCTGATCTGAGGATTGAACGTACCTGAATCTGCTAACCGGAAAAGGAGCCAGCTGGCAAGAGCCTGGCATGAAAAGAGATGGGATCTGGCTTGTTTACACCTGGCTACTGACATTCCTGGGAAAGGCGTGGACAGGTAGTGCTGCTTAGTGATGACACCGCCAGACCAACATCCAACCAGGTGAAACAGGAGCATTTGACACTGCTCAGATCAGCTCTCCTATTACTTCCAGGCCAAAACCCACTTCCTGTATTAATCGCAGGGGGTCCTGTTCAACTTTGTTTCTGCTCTTTTTGCAGCTCTTTCAACCAGTGCTTACCACAAAGCCAAAATCAGTAACTTCTGCTTCAAGTTAGTTTCTGTGGAAAGTGCAGAAACTAGCTAAAGGCTCACCAATTTCACTTCCCCTGCACGAAAACACCCCAAATAAAGCATGGCTGAAGTAACTTGATGGGTTGTGAGACGTTTGAGAAGCATCTGTGCAACCCAGTGGTTCTAAAGCTAAGAACAAAATGCAAATGTCACAAGAGACAAACAGGAGCTGCAGCATAGCTCCCTGGAGTTGGCGGCTTTGGGAAACTCACCCCTGAGCAAGTAAGCTGTTCAAAACCCCTGCTGAGGGGGGTTTAAGATGGTTCCTGCACCCCTGTCACCAAAGCGCTGCCTGACACACGCCATCAGCCCTGACAAGAGCTTCCATTTGGAAATGGCTTGCTAGCAAGTGACCAGCAGACATTTTAAAAATGAGTAATGGGTTACGTTCCGCTACTCCAGAGCCCGTCAGGTCAGCAAGACTACTGACAGTCATGACACAGCCATGACACCGATGGGCACACTGCCACCTACGACACCAATGTTAATGCGGTTTGCAACCTGCATTCACAAGCTATTTCGGGGGCTAACCTCGACTTGCAGCAGGACGGACACCCCTCACGCAGGACGCCAGCACCTGTTTGCAGATAAAAACAGCGGGGTGCATGCGTGGGAGCTGCTCCCCGGGCCCGGCCCCGCCCGGCTCCCCAGGCCCTGGCTCCCAGCTCGGCAGGA